ACCACACTGTGCTATTCATGCTCCCTACAGAAACACAGGCAATTTTCTGGGCATAAATTAAAATGGCTTTTAACCATTGGAAGTTATGGTCAACTTCATTCATAATCAATGAAATTCAAATAAAGAATGCCAGCCAATAAATGCAGACAAAATTAGAAAATCATATTTTTACAACTCCTGATAATTGATTCAGTCAAAGAGCATCAATGGATGGAGAACTGGATACCCACAAGATGCTTGTGAAAAGAGGAGACACGGACATTTACATGGAGAGTAATCAAACTCAACATCATTAATAGTGGGACAGCCAGACATTATGTGCCTCTTGACATGAGGCAAAATGAAACACCTCAGTTCCACCCACAAAGTATTACATTTTTATTAAAAAAAAAAAAAAAGTTTAATCAGTATCTAACCAATTCCTTGGATCTAAACATTAGTTTCAATGAACTACAGAGGGGAATAAAACAAATGACAGGACACCACAGTGGGGCAGTCCGAGAAATCCCTAAGTGTAACATTGTACAAGATAACTGTTTGAGGCTTTTCACAAGCCAGTGTGATGGAAAAAAAGAGCGAGGACCATGCTGGATCAAAGAGACATAAGAGACGTAACAACAAAGTTAATTGTGTGGTTCTTGATTGGACCTGGTTGAAACAAACCAGCTATAAAAGACATCTCTGGGACAACTGCGTAAATGTGAATATGAACTAGATATTAGGACCTTACTGTTATTTTTTAATGTGAAAATTATGTTGTTTTATGTAAGAAAATTACCCGTGTTAGCTATTAAGTATTTTATACTTTATGAAGTATTTGTGAAGTATCTAATACTGAAGTATGTAGTTGGTACACTAACATGATCTCTATTGCTTACTTCCAAGTACTTCAACCCTCCCCCAAATTAAACAAATATGGCACATTTTTAACAATGATTATATCTAGGTGAAGGGGCCCTAGTGGAGCAATGGGTAAGCACTTGACTGCTGACTGAAAGGTCGGTGGTTTGAACTCACCCAGCTGCTCTACAAGAAACCCTATGGATCTGTTCTACTGTGTCCTATAGGTTCGCTGTGAGTCAAAATCTACTCGATGACACACAACAACAACATACCTAGGTGATGAATAAATGGATATTCACTGAACTTTTTCTTTGTGTTTTCATATTTGAACTTTTCATAATATAAAAATTTAAAAAAATATGTACATTAAAACCACAATGAGATATCATTTTTTATCCACAGAGTCACAAAGAAAAAAATGTTTGAAATTATGCTGTGTTGACAAAGGTAGGGAAATAGCATTTTCATAGATTATTAGTAAACCAAACCAAACCAAACCAAACTCACTGCCAATTGAGTCAATTCTGACTCATAGCAACCC